ACACACACACACACACACAGTGTGCATTAAATCTGCATACAAAGTTTATGAAAAAAGGAACAACTTAAACCTTCCATATGCAAAATTCACATACTCTGGGTGACCTTATAATAGCATTAAGATAACATTTTATTCATAGATATTTCATCTTTAAACTATGTATTTAATTTTATACAATGAAAAAGTAAGAAAAGCTGCATTATAACGCAAGCGGTGACGTTCCTCTCATAAAAACACAAATTCACATGTGTAGCTACAGCTGGCTAATGAGATCTCTGTAATCTGCATCTAACTGTTTTTTAAAAATGGCAAACTTTGTATTGCTCGAGAATCTTGCTGCACATGCAACAGTGTGTATTTAGAGAGCGTCATATGTTTGCTGAGAGTGACGAAAGGCTGTAAAGAAAAAGTTGTGCGGAAAGCCCTAGAGATAGTCTGGGCGTGCTTTATGCAAATAACTAACCTTAAGCATGCAATAGCTCATTTAGAATACTACAAATTCACTAAAATTAGAATAAGATTAAGAATGAATTCATGTGCTTATATGCATGTGCTGTGAATTAGGCTGACATTTGTTGTGAGAAGTTCTCCTGTGCGTATAAATACTGATAATCCAATTATTAGTGGACGAGACCCAGTGTGTTTAAATCAGTCCACACAAAGAAACAGAAAGTATATTTAATTCATACACTTACTTTTCCGCTAGCGTTTGTTGCTCATTGATTCCTACATTGAATAATACTGGTTGAACTCGCAGCAGCATCCCATTTTGGATCTCCCGTGGCATCACATCAAACATCACCCCCGGTAAAGGAACTCGCACATTAAACCCATCTCTGTTGCCCGTGATGACAGGCAGCATGTCGGGGCTGAAGCTGGAGGTCGCCTGGGTCACTTTAAAGGTCACATTCCGGAGGTCCATGACGCCTACACTCATGTCTTCCAGCATGGCGAGTTCCTCCCCTTTAAAATGAAAAAAAATAATAGTTTACCACCTTATATAAATAAGTTGAATGTGCAAGCTGAATTGAGATGTGTTTGTATGTTTACCGTAGGTGCTCAGGAGCCCCTCAAACTGGACCAGTAAGCCGATCGTGTGGAGTTGTCTGAGGAAGCCATTGTCACTTAGACAGTTCCTCAGTTTTATCACAAACCCACAGATCAGGGCTGTCAGCTACAAAGAAATATGTACATTATTAAAATGGATATGAAAATATAATTTACAGTCTGCTAGGGAAATGTCTATACACTGGAAAATGCAGCATTGCATTATTAAAATGCCTGGATTGCATTATTAAAGAGTTTTGTAGAGTACTCTGAAAGTAGAACCATTTTCTATACAAAAAAAATTAAATTACCAAGTCTGGTGAAACTGATGCATTATGGGATGAACATCAATATGGCATTTTTAAAAAACATATTTTTCAAATGTAAAATATATTGTGTTTAAACCTTTTTTAATATATAATTTGGTTTAATTTGTTAACGTTAGTTAACTACATTAGTTAATATAAACTAACAATGAACAATAGTTGTTCAACATGTATTAATCTTAGTTAATGTTAATTTCTACATTTAGTAAAACATTTCAAAAGGTTTATCTGTTAACATGCACTGAGAAACTAACATGAAAAAACAATGAAAATTTGTATTTTTATTAACCAACATTAACAAAGATTAATAATAAATACTGTAAAAATATATTGCACATAGTTTATGCCAACTAATGCATTAACAAATGAGACCTTACTGTAAAGTGTTACTGGTTTAATACATTACAAAATATATTAGAAAATGAAATGTAGTGGCAGGAAAATACATTTACAATCTTAAAATACTTTTTGGGTAAATTCAGAAATATATACTGAAACTTTCTACAGAGCACATTCTACGTGTGCCTGGTTATAACCCATTCACAATAAAATGATGCTATA